TTAGAGGTGGATGAAAGATACAAGGTTGAACAATTGTATCATAACGAATCAATTCAACTTTTAAGTTGGTTTGCATTTAGGAGGCCTGCTCCAGAAAAAGATTACTTCGAACTTTCCAACAGTTTGGTGGAGTATGCTCAAGGACTTCCCTTAGCTCTTGAAATTTGGGGTTCTTATTTGTTTAAAAGAAGCATACCAGAATGGGAAAGTTTTGTGGAAAAATTACAGAAGGTAGCTCACCAACAAATTCAAAAGAAGCTTAGGATAAGCTTTGACAGGCTAGATGATCATTTATTGAAAGCCATGTTTCTTGATATTGCATGTTTCTATATCGGGATGGATAAAGATTATGTGATGACAATGCTAGATGGTTGTGGATTCTTTCCAAAAATTGGTATGAAAGTTCTTCTTGAAAGGTCTCTCATAGCAATTGACCCATATAATCATAAGCTACAAATGCATAACCTACTCCGGGATATGGGAAGAGAGATTGTTTATGAAGTATCACCATTTCACCCAGGATATCGTAGCAGGCTTTGGTTTCACCAAGATGTGGTAGATGTATTAACTAAACACATGGTAAAAAGTTAAATGCATTTCGTAAATAGATCTAAAAATGTACTAGAATTCATACCAATACTAGAATTCATAATATACTTTATTTCTATTTAGGGGATGGAACCGGTGGAAGGTCTCAGCTTAGATGTACCAACACTAGAAGATGATATTATAAGCACTGAAGCATTTGCAAAGATGATCAACTTAAGATTGCTGAAAATTGATTCTGTACATTTCACTGGTTCCTATGAAAAAATTTCAAAAGAATTAAGATGGCTCTGTTGGTGTAGATGTCCACTAATGGTTTTACCGCCCAATCTTTATCTAGACAACGTGGTTGTTCTTGACATGCAATACAGTAGTATCAAAAAAGTTTGGAAGGAGACAAAAGTAATTAAAATCACTCTCACACTGCTATGTTTTTTCTTTTTATTTTGATATTCTAGATCTTTTTTTCCTTAGCGCATATTATGGATTTACTGTTATTTTCTTTTTCTTATTTCAACAGGCTCTTCACAGGCTTAAAATACTAGATCTGAGCTATTCGGTATACCTTGGAGAGACACCAAACTTTGCAAAACTCTCAAGCCTACAAAGACTTGAACTTGAAGGTTTAGTTGAAGTTGATCAGTCTATTGGACATCTGGAAAAACTTGAATTCTTGAATTTGGCAAAGTGCAAGAACATAAGTGAACTTCCAGACAGCATTTGCAACTTAAGGTCTCTGGAGACTATGAACCTCAATGGCTGCTCAAAACTTTGTAGTTTGCCAGAGCATTTGGGTAAATTGGAAGCTTTGAGAAAGCTTGTTTTAAGTGGATCTGCTATTACAGAGTTGCCTTCTTCGATCGGACTTTTGAAGAACCTTGAAGATCTATCTTTGGCTGGACTTAGAAAAGAGTTACCTTCTAAGTCTTGGTTCTCATACTTTTCCTCATGGATCTCACCAAAACGTAGTGTGGGTTCTTCTTCTTTACTGCTACCAGCAACGTTCTCTCAGTTAAGCTCATTAAGAGAGCTTAATCTTGGTGGCCTCAACTTGTCTGACCATGAAATTTCCATTGACTTTGGGAGTTTCCATTTTTTGCGGAGATTGGATTTACGGGGAAACAACTTCTGTAACGTACCCGCAGGAATCAGCAACCATCCATGGTTAGACAGACTTATATTGAATAACTGCAAAAACCTTCGATCCATTACAGAGCTTCCTAAAAATTTAAAGGAATTATACGCAGAGCAATGCACATCAATTGAGAGATACCCAAACTTATCAAACATAGGTAGAGATCTTAATATAATCGCATTTAGTAATTGTCGCGAAGTAGCTGACATTCAAGGTTGGGATTTTCGCTCATTTTATAAATCATCTTTTTGTTCGCCTCTTCGACCAGATCCTAACGAGCCAGAGGTCTTTCTCTATCTCTCTCTGTATACATATAATATATATTATCATGCATGATAATGTTGATAACTACTAGTATTTCTTTAAAACAGAAGCGGTTGCTTTCCAAGTTCAAGTATTTGGAAGCTAACTTCCCAGCAAGAGAGGTGCCAGATTGGTTCGACTATAAAGAAATTGGATCTTCAATACTGTTTTGTATGCCTTCAATCCCAATTGGTTTAGATCGAGGTATGATTGTATGCGCAATCTATTCGGTCAATGAAGAATGTAATGACGAAAGCACTTCTGCAGCTTCTCTTACCATATATTTTAAGAATAAAACAAAGGGCTGTGAGACTTTTGATGTGTCATGTGGTTCCGTCGATGGGAATATATGTCAAGATCATGCGTGGGTGAGTTACATGGCACCTAGTTTTAGAGATGATGTAAAATCTTTTATCGATGATGTAAACGCTGAAGAAGGAGATGAAATTGAAGTTTCAATTGAGCCGCATGGTGGAATTCTTGTGAAGAAATGTGGTATTCATCTGCGAATTAATGGGCAGATGGGGTTAAGTTTTAAGAGCCTTTATTGATTTATTTTATTTATTGTTGAGACCAATATTAATTTTATTAGTTGTCAATATCATAATAGAGAAATATTTTCAGAAATAAATTACATCTTAAAGATTTATTTGCATGATAATTGAGAGGTCAATGATTGAATGATAATTTAATTTTATATATTGAAACAAATATGTTAAAATATTGATATTGAAATTATTGTACAAATATTTTTAAAATATGAAATCATGTTAAAAATAATTGTAAAATTTTTAAAAATTGTAAGTGAAGATGGAAGTTTTAATTTTTATTAGCATTATCTTATTTTTATTTTATTTTTAATTTAATATATTTAAATTAAACCAATAAAATTTCTAACTATGTTGTTAATAACCAATACCTTGTAGCCAACCACCTAGCCAAAATCGAATTATTCCAATATTGATGCAGAACAAAGAAGATTGTTGAGCAAGAAGAGCAAAAATCTAGAAGGCAAAAGGTTGGAAAAGTGCACAAAAGTAAAAGGAAGTGTGACTTGTTCCGTACAAATTAAGCACACTTGGATTAGTTTCCTTTTTATTTCATGGTTTATGCTTCAGCCTCCAATTCTACATTTGTGTTCTCAGTAGCTTCCAATTCAAAATCTCCCTTCTGTTTTCTTATATATGGAGGTAAGAAGAATGAACAAGGTTTGGATCTTGATTCTCAATTTTTTTAGGTGAATTGTTAGGTTTTTAAACTCAAATTTATTATAGTAAAGTTGTTCAGTAACATTTTTGTTTTGATAAATTAATTTAAGATTTTTTTACTGTCTATAAATAAGTGATTATGTTTAAGGTTAATAGTATTGTTTGGTAAGATACTCATAAGCTACTATTATACATGAAATCATGTTTGTTGACATTTTTCTTTTGTTAAAAAATCAACCACTATTTATTAATTTATCATTTTTAAAATGTTTATCAAATACAATAAAACAAATAAAATTAATTTTAAAAGGTAATAATTGATGCAACAATCTAATTATATGCACCCTATAAGAAATTGAAAATATATAAAACCAAAAAATTTGCTTAATTTTTTTTCCATAATTGAGAATAAAAATATATAATTATATGTTTTTTTTTAGTTATTGATTTTTTTTTGCATTAAATTCAGAATTTAAATCTTTGCAAATGAGTATAAATTTTTCTTTATAGCATGAATTTAGTCGATTACAATATTCATTACCACCTAATATGCATGGCACCTTTTATTTGAAATATTCAAACTTGCCACTATCAATCATTGACCATATTATTGCCACTAAGCAATAATTTTGGTTTCCATAATTTCATATAGTAATTTTTTTAATTTAAAATTTTAAGTTTTGATTAAAAAATATGAAATAGGCGCTAATAAAGTCAACAATTATATAGTAAAAAAATAAAGAATTTTGAAATATTGGTTGTAAAAAAAATATAAAAATTATAAAAAAATGATTTTAAGTGAAATAATTTGTAAAAAAAAATTCAATTTTAACGATAATAACGATAAATATTAATAATAATGACAAATATTAATAATTTAAATTTTATTTTAATATAATATAAGTAAAATTTGATAATTTTTTTTTATAAGTTTGATTTTGATAACTTTTGATAAAATTTTGTAACCTCTAACACAATTTTGGTAACCTTTAATATTAGTTTGATAACTTATAATATAATTTTGATAGCTATTAAAACATTTTTATAATCTCTTGATGTAGTTTTAGTAATTAACCTTCTAATAACTTATAATATATTTTTACTAATCATTAATAAAATTTTTGTAATTATATATTTAACAATTCATTACGGTAAAAAAGTGTAATTTCAATTCTAATATAAGGTAATTTTCTTTTTATACAATAACAATATTGTTTCATTTAAATTTAAAATTTTTTTACTAATTTTTTTATTAAATAGGTTAAGGGTAGGTTTATCCTAATTTTTCAAGATGAAATTTTTTGTTTCGTTTTTGCTAGTTAAGAAGGTTTAATTTCTAACAACTTCAAGTACAAAAATTTGTTCAATGATTGATAAATAAGTTATTATTGATTTACTATTCTTTCTTGATGACATTTTAGTTCAGCTAGATGGGAATGCCCTACTTGGCACGTCAAAATATTTGTGTCAATTTGCCTGAGAGGGATAAAACCCTTAAAACATAAGAAAAAGAGATCGGTGACCAACAAAAGTTGAGAGTGATTCTGGCGTGTGTGCTCTGCTTAAGTCAAAGTTTGGTCTAGTAATAAGAAGGGAAATAAAGGCTTAAAAGCTAAGAGTATAGTATGTTTAAAAATGTCTAGATGAAGCTATTTAAACCCATGTGATGGGGGATCGACCAAGGTTAGTATAAGAGACTAAGGTTAATTTTATAAATTTTATAAACCTGAGCTGAGTTGGTAATTGACTGTTCACTCAAGGCATGCGAGTCAACACCCTAATACACTAACTGGCAGGTTACTCAAATAGCCGAGTTGATGTGGACCCGAGATTTCAGATTAAAACAACATGTTAGCTGGTTGAAATTATCAAAATGACCCCATTTGTTAGTTGACTTATTCTCAGGAATGAAATGTCTATTTTATCCTTTGGACACTAAAATGCCCTTACAGTTCCATTGTTTTATTCCTTTTATTACTCTATCTTCGTCCGTTTTCCTTTGGAAAGATTGAGGAGTTCGTTTATTTCTCTAGCAGTGATAGCTCAAAGTATCAGCCAATTAATTTTGCTAGAAATTCAATTGATACTAAAACTCCATTAGACAACTCATAGAAGAAGATTTCTAGTTTTGTTGGTTAAAATTCAATGAAGATGTGCTCAAAGATTGTCAGCTGATTACGAGGGCCACTGATAAATCCAGTATGTGTTCATATATAGAAAACTCTGGTTTAGGTCCTCAGATTGAAAGTTCTGATGCTTTGGATTTATGGAATCGCAGTTGGTTTTCAACAAACCAATTCTTACTTGAGGTTATTTTCCATAACAGAATGACGAAATACAAGTGCTTAACCAATGAATTGACCCTCGTCTCTGCTATTTTTGTGCCATATTATGCTGGTCTGGACCTTCGCTATCTATGGGGATTTAATACCTTTATGAGAGATTCATCTGGCCTTGATTTGGTTAAATGGCTTGCTGGAAAACCTGAATTGAAAAGAATGCAGGGTGAGGATCGTTTCCTGATTTCAGGGCGGATTGCTCGCGATTTCAGGAGACAATCAAACAGGAAGTCTGATTGGGGCAGCAACTTCAGGTTCCTGCCAGAATCTGAGAAAATGTCCATGTTGACAATTGAATCAGGATCCTGGAAATATGATTTTGCTGTACCATACCCCACATACTTCCATCCTTCAACAGATACAGATGATTTTCAATGGCAGGAACTCATGAGAATCCAAAACCGGCCTTTCTTATTCTCCTTTGTTGGTGCCCCAAGATCCAGACATAAAGGCTTAATAAGGAGTGAGATTATCAGGCAACGTCAAGCTTCGAACAATTTATGCAATTTAGTAGACTGTGGTTCCATTGGGGATAAATGTGATAATCCAGTTAATCTGATGAAGCTGTTTCAAAGTTCAGTGTTTTACTTGCAACCTCTAAGGGATTCATTGACAAGAAGGTCAACTTTTGATTCCATTTTGTCTAGTTGTATTCCACTCTTTTTCCATTCAGGGAGTGGTATTCACAATATGTATGGCATTAACCAAAAAAACATACCAAGTATTCAGTGTTCATATCACCAAAGAAATTGAGACTAGGAAAAGCTCGCATCAACCAGACGTTGCTTCAAGGTTCGAAGGATGAAGAATTAGCAATGAGAGAAGAGGTCATAAGATTGATTCCAAGGATTATTTATGCCGATTCCCGGTCTAGATTTGAGACTGTTGAAGATGCATTTGATTTAGTAAAGGGAATTCCAAAGAGAATAGAGACATTAAGAAAGGTAAATAGAAATTTAAAAATCATTTGTACATTTCAAAGTTTTAAACTATAGTAGGTGAAAATTTTGTGATAGTAAACCAAATCGGATATAAATGTTCAATTTATTTTTCCCAGGTAATTCTCACAGAATTTGTACATTTAGCGATTTACTTTGATCACCAAAGTATGCAACTGCCACCATGCGTGCTAGCCTTGAGCCAGCAATGTGGAGGCACTTTTAGCTTCCAAAGTCAATTTATGCCAAGTGGATGAAATAGGATGAAATCCTAACCAAGTCTGATTCAAAATAAATGCGTTTTGGTGATCTACATTAAACATAAATATAGTCATGTGTAAATTTATATAATTTTGTTTCATATAAAATATATATAAAATAAAAAAAATTATTTACAAGTCAAATATATAATATATTTTTTATTTTTTTTAAATTTATATAATTTTTTTAAAATTTTAAATTATATTATTTTTATATTATATCTACGTATTTTATGCCAAATTATCTAATGAAATTAAACCCAAATCCAAATAATGGGAAAGTGTATAGCACAATCTCTCGCCCTCCAATGTTGACTTGTTTGTAACATTCCCCGAAGCCAATGAGGACAGTGTGAAAGACGATTAGAGTTCAATTTCCGAATACAAAAATCTTCTTAGTCAGGTATCGATCAGCGCCCCCTTGGTAAAACGTTTGTACTGGGACTGATAACGAATCTTTATTCTCTGGAGTCGTGGCCTAGAAGAAAAGTATCCACTTCTTGAGGACGTCAAGGTTGACAAGTTACAAGGGTGAAAATTTTTATTAGGCTTTAGTACTGTATTTTATCATAATTAATTACAACAATTGACAAATTAAAATACAATTAAATAATAAAATTTATATACAATGAAATTTGCACCTAAAATCCTAATATTCTATATTTTTATATATATTATGAATGCATTTCGATCACTTTATTATATATAATGATTTAAGTTAAAATAATAAAATGCGAAGGACGAAAGCAGGTTGAATTGAAAAGATAATATTGAAGTCTACTTCACTGTACATCCACTACTCCTCAAAGTCATTTTTCCTTAATTTTCATTCCGCGTATGAATTTCTTTGGTCAGACAAAATGATTTAATGAACCTGATAGTAACTCTCCCAAAAAAAAAAAAATTGCATTAATTTGAATAGTAACAATTAGTAATGACCCTTATTTGTAATTTTCAGATGGATGTACTAAGTTTCCACAAACCATTTTCTCCATCGCATTTTTTTGTTTGTTCCATGGCTGCCAAAGGTTTCTCCGAAGCATCTGCTTCCGGTTTCAAATGGACCCATGACGTCTTTCTAAGTTTCAGAGGGGAAGACACTCGAAAGAACTTCACGGATCATCTTTATACAGCTTTGGTAAGAGGTGGAGTGGTCACCTTCAGAGATGACGATGAACTTCCTAGGGGAAAAGAAATCTCCTCAGAGCTGCTCAAAGCAATCGAAGAGTCAAAACTTTCTATAGTGGTATTCTCTAAAAGCTATGCTTCTTCTAGGTGGTGTCTTGATGAGCTTGTCAAGATTATTGAGTGCAAAAACACAACAGGCCAGGTTGTTATTCCAGTCTTCTATGATGTTGATCCATCTGATGTCCGAAAACAGATCGGAAGTTGTGAAGAAGCTTTTGCTAAACACGAAGAACGGTTTAAAGATAAGATGGAAAGGATCAAAAAGTGGAGAAAAGCTCTAACAGAAACCGGGAATTTATCCGGCTGGGACCTTCGAAACATGACAAATGGGTAATATTTAATTTTTAAGATGAATCATCCAAAAAATTCTAAAATATATATGTATATGTACATCTTCGTTTTTAAATAAAAAAATTAAATGAAACTAATTTTAATTGCTAGTTAGTGCTATTAAAATTATTATATGCGCCTAATTTTAAATTATTGTAGTCAATTTATATCTTGGTATGAATTGGTTTTTATGTTTGATGATTTAAACCTTAAAATTAAGAGTAGAAATTCTACACAATCTATATATACCTGATAAAAGGTCTAATTTATTTTTGTCCTAAAGTTGTTTGTTTGAAGTCTATAATGACAATATATCATATATAATTATTGTAATATAATTAATCAATTATAATTTAGTTTTAGTATTATGAAGTGTCCATCAAAAAATTATTTAAACCTCATTTAAGTGATGAACTCTTAGATAATTTTTTATTATAATTAATTAATTGTAATATTGTAATAAAGAGAGTTATAAAAATTAAATAATCAAAAGTGAGTGTTTACTGATAATCAAATTTTCTTGTGTTCTTCTTGTGTTGTTTCATCCCAAATAATTTCACAGGTATGAATCGAGATTCATCCAAAAGATTGTCAATGATGTTATCAGAAAATTAAAACGCAATGACTTGCACGTCGCCACTCACCCAGTAGCTCTAGAATCACGTGTTAAATGGGTGATGAGATTATTAGATATTGGATCTGAAGAAGTTTGCGTAGTGGGCATCTATGGAATGAGTGGGATAGGTAAGACCACCATCGCAAAAGCTGTCTACAACCTAATGGTCTGTGAAGGATTTGAAGGATGCAGTTTCCTTTCAAATATTAAAGATGACTCGCAGCAACCTAATGGTCTTGCTAGGATGCAAGAGAAGCTCCTTTCTGATATCTTGAATGGGCAAAAATTCAAGATAGATAATATTGACAGGGGTGTCAATTTAATCAAGGAGAGGCTTTGTTGTAGAAGAGTTTTTATAGTTCTTGATGACTTGGATGAGTCAGCACAATGGAGACCATTAGTTGGTGATCGGAAGTGGTTCGGTCGAGGAAGTAGGATTCTCGTCACAACTAGAGATGAACGTTTGCTGACTGAATTTGAGGTGGATAAAAGTTATAAGGTTGAACAATTGAATCATGAGGAGTCAATTCAGCTTTTAAGTTGGTTTGCATTTAGGAGGCCTGCTCCAGAAAATGATTACTTCGAACTTTCCAACGGTTTGGTGGAGCATGCTCAAGGACTCCCCTTAGCTCTTGAAATTTGGGGTTCTTATTTGTTTAAAAGAAGTCAACCAGAATGGGAAAGTTTTGTGGGAAAATTACGAAAGGCACCTCACCAACAAATTCAAAAGAAGCTTAGGATAAGCTTTGACACACTAGATGATGATTTATGGAAAGCCACATTTCTTGATATTGCATGTTTTTATGTTGGGATGAATAAAGATTATGTGATGAAAATACTAGATGGTTGTGGATTCTTTCCAAAATTTGGTATTAAAGTTCTTCTAGAAAGGTCTCTTATAGCAATTGACCCACAGGATCAAAAGCTACAAATGCATAACCTACTACGAGACATGGGAAGAAAGATTGTTCATGAAGAATCACCATCTCACCCCGGATATCGAAGTAGGCTTTGGTTTCATCAGGATGTTGTAGATGTATTAACGAAACACATGGTAAAAAGTTAAATGCACTTTGTAAATAGATCTAAAAATGCACTAAATGCTAAACTTAACTAGAATTAATATTATTTTTTATTTGTATTTAGGGGATGGAAGCTGTGGAAGGTCTCAGCTTAGATGTACCAACACTAGAAGATGACCTTATAAGCACCGAAGCATTTGCAAAGATGATCAACTTAAGATTGCTGAAAATCGATTCTGTACATTTCACTGGTTCCTATGAAAAATTTTCCAGAAAGTTAAGATGGCTCTGGTGGCGTCGATGTCCACTAATGGTTTTACCGCCCAACCTTCATCTAGACAACTTGGTTGTTCTTGAAATGCAACACAGTAGTATCAAAAAAGTTTGGAAGGAGACTAAAGTAATTAATATCACTCACAATACTATGTGTTTTCTTTTTATTTTGATATTTTAGATATTTTTTCTTAGCGCATATTATGGATTTATTGTTATTTTCTTTTTCTTGTTTCAACAGGCTCTTCACAAGCTTAAAATACTTGATCTGAGTTATCGGTATACCTTGGAGAGACACCAAACTTTGCAAGACTCTCAAGCCTACAAAGACTTGAACTTGAAGGTTGCACAGGTTTAGTTGGGGTTGATCAATCTATCGGACATCTGGACAAACTTGAATTCTTGAATTTGGCTGAGTGCAAGAACATAAGTGAACTTCCAGACAGCATTTGCAACTTAAGGTCTCTTGAGACAATGAACCTCAATGGCTGCTCAAAACTTTGTAGTTTGCCAGAGCATTTGGGCAAATTGGAAGCTTTGAGAAAGCTTGTTTTAAGTGGATCTGCTATTACAGAGTTGCCTTCCTCGATCGGACTTTTGAAGAACCTTGAAGATCTATCTTTGGCTGGACTTAGAAAAGAGTTACCTTCTAAGTCTTGGTTCTCATACTTTTCCTCATGGATCTCACCACAAAGTAGTGTGGGTTCTTCTTCTTTACTGCTACCAGCAACGTTCTCTCAGTTAAGCTCATTAAGAGAGCTTAATCTTTGTGACCTCAACTTCTCTGACCATGAAATTTCCATTGACTTTGGGAGCTTCTATTTTTTGAGGAGTTTGAAATTAGGGGGAAACAACTTCTGTAACCTACCCGCAGGAATCAGCAACCATCCAAGGTTAGAGAGCCTTGTATTGAATAACTGCAAAAACCTTCGATCCATTACAGAGCTTCCTAAAAATTTATGGATCTTAGAAGCAAAGCAATGCACATCAATTGAGAGATACCCAAACTTATCAAACATAGGTGATCGTTTTGATAGTATCCGAATTAGTAATTGTTGCAAAGTAGTTGACATTCAACGGCGGGAGTTTTACCCAATTCATCGATGTTGTTTTAATTGGATAGAACCAGATCTTAACAACCCAAAGGTCTTTCTCTATCTCTCTGTATATACATATAGTGTATATTATCATGCATGATAATGTTCATAACTAGTAGTATTTCTTTGAAACAGAAGTCGTTTACTTCCAAGTACAAGTGTTTGGAAGCTCACTTCCCAGCAAGAGAGGTGCCAGATTGGTTCGACTATAAAGAAATTGGATCTTCAATACTGTTTTGTATGCCTTCAAACGCAATTGGTTTAGATCGAGGTATGATTTTGTGCGCAATCTATTCGGTCACTGAAGAATGTAATGGCGAAAGCACTTCTGAAGTTTCTCTTGCCATATATTTTAAGAATAAAACAACGGGCTGTGAGGCTTTTGTTAGGTCACATGGTTCCCTCGATGGGAATATATGTCAAGATCATGCGTGGGTGAGTTACATGACACCTAGTTTTTTTATCGATGAT